TAAATTATCTTAATAATATATGCAAATATAATGTAATGTTAATTAAATGTAAATTAAATATAATGTATATAAACCGAGCTGCTTTGTTTGCTGAACGCAGCAATATTGTCAATTGCAATGCAGATCACAATCTGTAATGTGATTGTACAATCTTCAATTTCAATCTTAATCTCAATCTCCAATGCGTAGTCTGATACCGGCTTAAAGAGGAGTTCTCGGTGAAACGAGCGTATTTATGAAAAGCCGCCGATTTTTGTGTGTCTGACGGGCCACAGGGAATGCGCGCTAACAATTATCGTTTTCGTTGTGCGACCCGGCTAGAGCCGATAAAGCTTCTACATATTCCAGCGCCCCGTCTAACATTGTACGTCGAGATTTCTTACAGGACCGTCGCGCCCCGCGCCCGCCGAGCGCCACAGCCAAGTCAGTAATTGTAGCGTAATCTTTCTGTAATTGTGTGCGTGTGATAATTCGCGTTTCCGCAGAGGCCTTACGCCGCCGGAACGGAATTCAAGAGAATTTCCGGGATCACGGGATTCCGTGGGACGTATTCGTCACATATTTTCGATTCAGCTTGCGTCGATCACGTTTGTCCGAGCGCTCCGCGCCGGCGTACTAGCGAATATTACGCCCGCACTGCACGATTTCCGATTCCGCGTGTCACGCGGATGCGAGGGACTTGTAATTAGCGAGTTGTACCACCGAAGAGAAGTGAGTCTTGATTTTCCGTTTGTCCGAGATACGATCCCGTAGTACGATCGTAGAGTACGCGAATTACGAGTTTCCGTCAATTTTGTGTGCAAGCAGTATTGCTTCGCGTTTCGAGTGTTCTTGTCTCTTATCGTATATCGTTCCCCAGATAACACAAAAAATTTGAAAAGAATTCTTTTTTGGTTCCCAATTTACAAAATGAGTTTTTTTACCGTCCCATTTCTGTTCTAAAAGTATTCTTTAGGCTCCCAAGAGACTTCACTTTATGTCACCAAAAGTGAGTTCTTTTTCAAATTCAAAAAGGATTTCGTTTCACGTCCATAAGAATTCGTAATGAATTTAAATAT